GTTTAAAACATATCTAAATGCAAGAACAAAATGTAATATATTGGAGCTTACCAGTCCTTAAAAGCGGTGTCTGCATTCGTTTTCTTTTTTTCACGCATTTTTTACATGGAGATCCTTCCAGCAACATAGTTCCTGTCCTAGAATGACAATGCTCATTCACCATGCTGTATTTAGGAAGGATCAGTTTTGTCACCCTAGGGCAGGAGTGTTATAGGACTATAGAACATCTCCCCTCTTCCATAATAGGAGGGGGCAGTAATGTGTACTCCACAGAGTGAGATGAGAACAATGCTAACCGATAACAGTGCAACAGAGTGTACAGAAAAATATTATTATTATTATACAGGATTTATATAGCGCCAACAGTTTACGCAGTGCTTTACAAACATATATTACAAAACACTTTCATAGTGGGGTCTATGAATAAAGCTGCCGCAGGCAGCCGGGGGACTAACCGACCCCAAGTGAAGTGAGCCGAACGCCATTCGGCTATTCACTTCAGGCTGGCACGGCTGATTCCAGCCGTACATCGGGTGGCTTCGTGTGGCTCCGGGTCGGCCAAACATGCTCAGCTCGGCTAAGCTGGATTGGCTAAGCTGAACCTCCGGCAGGCTACTCCCTGCTGTTCGGTCTATTCTCATAAATGCCGAACAGCAGTGAGCAAATAGCCGAATGCCGCTGAGCGGCATTAGGTTCGGCTGTTCTGCCCGGTCCCTCTGTGCAACCGAGCAGAATAGAAAAATAGTTTAAAAAGTAGAAAAAAATTAGAAAATGTGCGGAGCTAGCAGTGACAGCTTGTTTTGCCCAACTGTTTTCAATTGGCCGGGCGGTTCTGTTGCCGTAAAAAAAAAAACACACCATAGGAAAGCATAGCTAGATTCCTAAAAATAAACAATAAAGGTGATCAGCGCCAGTGAGTGTAATGTGGAAATTTCATTTTGCAATAGCCAATAGGAATCTAGCAATGCATTTCTTCTGACTGCAGCCAACGGCTCCGATGTCAGGAAAAAAAAAAAACGAGCAGGGAAAGGTTTACGCTGCTCGATCAAGCAGAGTAAACCTTTCTGAGAGAAAGTGTTTCTCTCCTGGGCGGCCGGGAGCCTATTAGACTCCCAGAGCGCCGGGGGGAGGAATGACAGATGGCGCTCCTGGTTACCGGGTAACCAGGAACGCCATCTGTCATTACACACTGAGAGGCCGCTCTCAGTGTGTAATGACAGCGTCCCTGTTTAGCTGGTAACCAGGGACGCTGATCTCTCTGCAAGTGGCCGGAGCCAGCCGTGAGATGACGGCTGGCTCTGCCCAGCTGTCAAAAGCAGGCTGACGGCCAGCCAATGGCCGGCCATTCGACCAGCTTTGGCTTTCACCGCGGCTCAGTCGAGCCGAGGCATATGCCTTCGGCTCGACTAAGCCGCTCGGCCAACTTCGGAAGCTGTACGGGCTATAGTGAATAGCCCGTACAGCAGCCCTTCGGTTCTACTGAACCGAAGGGGTCCTGGGCCCGAAGCTAGCCAAAGGATCAGCCGAAGCTACGGCTAGATCCTTCGGCAGCTTAGTGAATAGACCCCAGTATATTTACCAGACTGTAAGAAAGCAAATAAGAGAAGCCTGTTGTCTGGGTTTACATACACTTTAAACTTTAAGTTACTTTAAACGTTAATGGAGGCCTGAGTAGCCAATTTCCAAGTATCAACATTGCCCATTGGGAGAAAAAGAAATGCTCCTCTATACCTGCAAGTATCTTTTGTGACACTTCATATCTCCAGGCAATTGGAAGGTCAAGGAACTGAAGGAAAGGTAAGTATACAGAACTGCAGGGGCCGGCAGTACAATTAGTCTGTTGCTTTGCACTGCATGGGCACAGCTCAAGTTCACTTTAAGGACCTTGTGCAGATATATGTTCTTTGATTGCAGCTGTATAGGAAACACATGCTCACACTCCTGATATCAGTTCTGGGTTGTATTTGCAGCTTGAGTCCTGACAAGTGTATTGGTGCCTGGCATTTTACAGAGATCACTATTAGTGCTTGGAAAGGCATAGAAGGCAGAAAGAAGACACACTGAGTTTTAGATAGTAACTATGCAATGGAAAGTCATTGGAGTCCATGAAGAGAATAAGCCATATGTATAGGACTCAATTCACTTTGATGGCAGAGGGCCACTTCTTTAGAAGCCTATGTTGTTGCTTTCTGCCTCCCATATATTGTGACCTATGGATGTCATAAACATTATTTCTTACCATGCCTTTTTATTAGGAGGACTCTCTCATCATTGGTGTGCAAATTTGACCGACTTCACCCTGCTCCTTTTATACCAATCTGCTTCTAAAGCTGGCCATACACTTTACAACCATCGCACGACTTTCACTGTGCGATGGTTGAAAGGTAATTAAAAGCTCGTACGATCTGCCCATCTTGGACAGGCAGATCGTACTTGCGATCATCGCAAGCCCGCCCCGCTGAGGGTTGCAGAAGGAGTGCAGAAGGAGTTCGACTCAGCCCATCCAACATCTGGATCGGCTGAGCCGAACCTCCGGCAGGATACTCGCTGCTGTTCGGCCTATTCTCATAGATGCCGAACAGCAGTGAGTGAATAGCGGCATTCGGCTCGGCTATCCTGCCCCGGTACCTCTGTTTATACCGGTACCTTTTTATACCGAGCAGAATAAAAAAACAGTTAAAAAAGTAGAAAAAATAAAATAGAAAACGATTCGGCGGAGCTAGCAGTGACAGCTAGTTCTGCCCAACTGTTTTCTATTGGCCGGGCGGTTCTGCTGCCGTCAGAATAAAAAAAACAAAAAAAAACACCATAGGGATGCATAGCTAGATTCCTATTGGCTATTGCACTTTGCAATAGCTAATAGCAATCTAGCTATTGCACCCGCCCTCTGCTGCTGTCAATCACCAGAAGGGGACCTGATGGAGAACTGCAGGTCCCCCTCTGCTGATTGACAGTTTGCTATTGGCTATTGCAAAGTGAAATAGCCAATAGGAATCTAGCTATGCATTCCTATGCTGGCTTCTTTTTTTTTTTTTCAGGCCAGCAGCCCCATGTCAGAAAAAAAACCAGATCGCAAGGAAAGGTTTTCTCTGCTTGATCGAGCAGAGTAAACCTTTCCGGGAGAAAGTGTTTCTCTCCTGGGCGGCCAGGAGCCGTATTAGACTCCCAGAGCATCCGGGAGAGTAATGACAGATCAGCATCCCTGGTTACCAGGTAACCAGGGACGCCATCTGTCATTACACACTGAGAACCCGGAGAGGCCGCTGTGATATCATAGCGGCCCTGCCGGGTTCTCAGTGTGTAATGACAGATGGCGTCCCTCGTTACCTGGGCCAGGGATGCTGATCTCTCTGCAAGTGGCCGGAGCCAGCCGTGAGATGACAGCTGGCTGCGTCTAGCTGTCAGAAGCAGGCAACTCCGGCTTTCACCTCGGCTCAGTCGAGCAGAGGCATATGCCTTCAGCTCGACTGAGCCGCTCGGCCAACTTCGGGAGTGTACGGGCTAAGGTGCATACCCCGTACAGCAGCCCTTCGGTTCTACTGAACCGAAAGGGTCCTGGGGCCGAAGCTAGCCGAAGGATCAGCCGAAGCTACGGCTAGATCCTTCGGCAGCTTAGTGAACAGACCCCTTAGATTCCTCTGGAAATAAAATCACATACTAGGTGATTTCATGGAATTTACTCATAACTGAAAGGCTACCTGCACATTTAATTTTATACTTCATATACTTTAGGATAACTTACCCTTTAACAATTTTTATATTAGCAAAATCTAAATATTCATGATGCATGATTATCCCCTTTTATTTGTTTATAAATGAATATCTATGTATAATATTTATATGTAAATGTTTAGAACCTATTAGGCTATTTTGTTTTTAAAACACAAGGACACGTATAACTTTGTTTCTATTTAACCTTGCTTAACCTTGAACACAAACATGAACATAACTCATCCCACACACATGCAGGCACCTTTCCAACACACAGCAACCTCCCATCAACACACCATACTTCTATAATTCACATATTCAGCCATTTTCACACATGACTTAAACAATACAGAAATACAATTGGAGAAAGTGTAACTTTTTTTTTAATTGTAGAAACATGTATTATTTGGAAAAGCATAAACATTTACGAAAATACAAAAATAACTGAGTTTAAAAAAACGAAGACAAAGACAGTAATCTGGCTTTGCACATTGACATTTTACAGACCTTAGGCAAACTAAGCACGAATGTTCAGCTATGTACAGTTTGCACTGATCAATATTATAATAGAAATATGTGTAATAACAGGGAGAGAATATCTAGCAGGTTTATAGAGGCACTATATAGGGTTAGAACTGTACAGACCAGGTACAGCATATTCCTTCTTAAATATACATAAAATAGCATTCAAATCAAACTTGAGAAGTTAGTATATTGCGGCATTATCACATCCTGATTTGGGCAAATCAACTAAGCGCTGATAACATGGAATCATCAATGCATTCTGAACAATGCCCACCATAATTGGTGAATGGGAGCTGAGCTTCAGCAAGTTGCAGAGATGATTACCCAGCATGAAATAAAGAATACTGAAATTAATTAACCTCCATATTCTTATATATTAAAAAATCACTGGTTTGAAGCTCAGAAGCATATCTTAGTTTCTCCCCTCTCCCTCTATGCCTAGATATATATCTCAGTAGGCTGCCCAAATTCTGCTGATGCGTTTCCCTGAGTTAATTTAAAGTCTATGGCTTTCCAAAGCTCTTTTCTGCAGTACAATGCAATGACAAGTTGACCACTATCAGTTGACCAACCAGTTGACCACTATCAGTTGACACGAAGCACCTGTTGAGCCCAATCTTTGTACTAGTGCAGACTCCCAGTACAGGTAACACTTCCCCCACCCCAAAACCCAGTCTTAAGCCTCCACCCAAATGATTAGTGATTTTGTTTTTCTGTCTTCATCGATCTTAACAGTCAGCGGCAGTCTGCTGGGTGGGGTTGTCAAGTGTCCCTTGTCTAGGCTTGTTCAGTTGAGTCTCAAAAAAATAAAAATAAAACACACACAGCCAAAGTCACACTGATCTTTCCAGATGGCAAGTCCAAAGTTTGTATCAAAACGAAGGAGCGTGAAACGAGATGCTGATTAAAGGTTCAAGGTCCTTGTGTCCTGTGTTGGCTCATGGACAAGGCAGTTGTTGTCCTTCTAGGCTGATTACACGTAGTTGCTGGCTGGTCCAGATCGTGCTGCGGAGTATTTGGCAGAATAGGGCTTCTGGTCCCTTGGTGGGCAGTTGCAGCACAGCATGCCACCACCCAGGAGGAACAAGGCGGCTGATGCCCAGCCGATGTACAGAGATGCCCCCAGCTCTCTCTTCTGAGCCTCCACCACCAGGGGGTTGTAGAAGTCTCGGATGATGTTGTTGGCAGACCAGGAGACAGGGATCAGAGTTAGGACTCCGGCCACAAGGAAGACGATGCCACTCACGATCATGATCTTGGCTTTGGAAGACTCATCTTCCACGCAGTTGGTGCACTTGCCTCCGATGATGGAAAAGAGCACTCCCAGGACAGCCACCACGATGGCGATGACAATCAGGGCTCTGGCTGCCTGGAGGTCCTGGGGAAGGGCAAGCAAGGAGTCATACACCTTGCACTGCATCTGCCCTGTGCTCTGCACCACGCAGTTCATCCATAGTCCTTCCCACATGACCTGGGCCACCACGATGTTGTTCCCGATGAAGGCAGTCACCCTCCACATAGGGAGAGCGCAGGTGACCATAGTACCGAGCCATGCTATTATAGAGAGGGCAATGCCCAAGACTTGCAGACCCATTGATGCCATGGCTTGAAGATTCTTCTGCTGATGATGGTCGAGAAGTTGTCTCTGGGATGATCAGGGATGTGATTGCGATGTGGGAACATAGAAAGGTAGATATACCCCTGGCACCTTGGGGAGGAGTTTGCCTGCATTGATCCGGTTCCCCATCTCACAGAAACTCACCAGGAGCCATGAAACCAGTTGAGCTGGATTCTCTGTTTTGTAACAACAATGAGTGGTTTCACCCGCCCGTCACCCCCTCCTCTATTTGCCAACCTCGTCACTTTATGGAGTTTGTCATCAGCTGCAGCTAGAATTCCCCTGGATCACACTGTCCTAGCCACAGCAAAGAAAGTCAGGGGACAATGCAGCCAGGAAATGGGATCATGGTGATGACAAAGGCAAAAGAAAGTTTCCCTTCACATCCTTGTACGCCTTATAAAATATGGTGACTAATGCAATGCCCCCTTACCCAAATGACAGCAATCTAATGTACTGGTTCCAGTACACATAGACAGGATGTGACAGGTCAGCATTGCAATCAAAGTCCAGAGACATAAAGAATCAGAACCTCATGACAAGAGGCTTTGTAGTTCTATAAGTGCTCATTATGCTATTAAGTAGGTGTATAATATTCAGGGTTGTCTATACACAAATACACATTTATACAGTGATGTTTACTTGCCAGAGAAAGAGCTGACACCTGATTCAAACTGGCCATACACCTGAAGTATTTCATTTGAAACAATTCTTTTTTTTTTAAACATTCTGTTCATTTGATTTCCTAAAAGGTAATAGGTTCAAAATGACAATTGATTTTGACTGTAACGACTAAAAAAAACAAATCAAAGGAACAGGATGGAAACTTTTGTTTTGAAATATTAAATTCTTGCTTTGAATGTGGTTTTCGTTCAGGAAACTCCATTGATTCTAAAATTGAATATTAAAACCAAACAATGGACACATGAATGGATACTGCATGCAGCATTTTGATAGTACACTGCAACAGAAAGTATGTTACCATGCTTTGCTGTACACTGCAATGAATGTGCGCTAGAAGGGTGTGTTTGTTGCATGTGCCATTTAAAATAAATGTCGCTGCATTTTGCCAACATACGTAACATGCGTTAAATGCATATTGTGCGTAACTGTCTGATTATGCAAAAATATACAAAACGATTGAGCATTTTACTCAAATGTATACGGTTTTTATTATATAGACTCAAAATTTACTCTTTCCTTCACAGCGCTATCCGCGATGTTATGTCTGTGGGCAGCAGTTGTTGAAGTTCCAACACATCATACTTGCTTCAGACTGTCAGGAGTATAGAGCTTGGAAAGGTATACTGGCTTCTGTAGTTCTACCATAGACAGAAGCCCGCAGGCTGCCTCTCTGTACCATCCTTATGTATAGTTTCGCCATAGCTATACGAGAGGTATTACAAATCACATTTTTCATTCTGCCAAGTACCATCAACAACAGTGTCGTATCAGGCAGCATTTGCCCATCACAGTTATATAAGTCCCACACAGTGCTGTTGTGTTATATTAACCCTCAATCATACTTGCAAGTGCATCAGGTTTATATGTGTTTTTGCATGCTTGTCTTAGGGCATCCCATTCATTGGGCTAAGCTAAGTGTGGCAAATACACTCATGCACCTTTTGGAGCTTCAGGCTTCAATTTCTTTGTGCATCTTGGTTGGCACGTTTTGGGGGGCATTAACAATGAATGGCACCACAAAAGCGATGTGTTTTTACGCATTTCCTGGATGCTTGGAAAATCATGGCATTTTACACACATTCACACACTACACTAGTGTGAATGGGGGAGGAAGTTTATCACTTTTACTTTTATGCTCAAACCTTTTCCTGCCAGGACATTAGGAATTGTGAAGTCTTTTTAATGTAATAGACGTCTGGAGTTTTCCTGATACCACTATTCAGTATCATGTCCTGAGGTGGCCCTGGAAAGATACTCTCACTCTAGCAGGATTATAAACATCTCTTCAGATGAAAGGATTCCTTGAAAAATAATGTTACCAGTTTTTATCCTCACAGTTTCTTAACATTTGTTACTATGGTTGCAAATCAATATGACTCATTCTGCTGTATACAAAGTTTCTTACTAGGTTAATAGAGAAGGTGGAACAAGTTTGTTTTTATACCCAGCCACTCCTCTTCACATATTTGAAATCATTTAATACCTGACATCTGATTTTTCTCCACTCTATGCTCTTTTCAGATATCTGCCATTTTACAATTACATGGTAAAGTATAACTCTAGCCTGTTATAATTTACCTGCACAAATGACAATATTGTCACTATGACAGGAAGTGAGTGACACGGATGGTCCAACCTTCCCCATCTCTGCTATAAATGTTTTTCATTTTAGTTTTCCTTTCTGTTTTTGTCCTGTTGACATGGTTAAAAGGAATCGTTTACTTTTTGCAAAAATTAATAAATACAGCCATATTGCAATAAGAACAAATGTGCATTTATGAATTTTTTACATTGGAACCAGCAAAGCATTGCAACCACAATCAGTGGATTATGGGCGCAATGTACAGGCTCCTGCAGACTGTTCATCCAGCCCCAGGCCTGTACCTCAGTATAGACCTTCAGAAAAAGCTATCAATAGCAGGGAGTTCACACACTTCATTGAGAACTACGAGGTCCTCTGCCATGGTGACAGATGTAGATTTTTCATTTACAGATACTGTGAATGGATCTGATCTGTAAATGAATGAATGAGCCATGTGTAGTCACGCTCATTTAAAAAGCATACAGAAACCTGCAAGGAGAAGCACCCCATGATACAGATAAGTTGGGGGAGATCTAAAGCTGGGGGGCTGTTGAGTAGCAACATGTCTAGGGAGGTGAGGGATGAAGGAGCTGGGCTAGCACAGAGAGTATTTAAACACTCCCATAAAAGGGAAGGGTTATGACATGCAAGGAGGGTAGATTTAAAAAACCCTGATTTGTTCTTGTTTTCTCTCCCTGCACTGTGCCCAGACACCTTCTATATGGACAGTGGTCTCCAGCAGTGGCTGAACATCGTAAGCTTACTGTGGTGTCCAGGGCAGAATGTGCACTGTGCACTGAAGTCCAACTCAGGAAAGTACAGTACCCGGTGACAATGCTGCAGCTTAACTGAGGAAGTGTTGTCACCCTAGCACAGGAAGTATATACATCTAACTGGTATAATTTAATTGAAAACAGAACATATAAAAAAGGATTCAACTTTTTGTAATTACAGGAACGTGTGTAACAACATATTTGGTTCAACATACAATGCTGACATCCTTCCCAAAACTGCCGGTTACTGGTAAGTAGTGTTAATCATCTGACTTTTATATCTTCTGAGCCGTGATCTGAGAACAAGTATATTGTAAGTAAGGCCATAGTAAAGTAAGATTTCCCAATACATGTCTGTATATGTGTCCCGGTAAGCGACTAAAAAAGGATTGAAGTAATCAATTTAGTATGTCATCCAGGTAATAGGTATTTCCTATATCTTTACTGTCCTCCTTCTGAAATGTAAGCTAACAGTTTCTGGATTCTTTAGTCCTAAATAGGTATAAGCTCGGGTTCCAAGTGAACCTGGTCTGAGCTCCTCAGAATCTAGAAGGAAGCCCCTCCCACTGCCGTTCAATCAGCTGTGGCTGGGGAATTCCCCACATGCACCTGCACATAAGCAAGGGGACAGGCTGCTGTGATGTCATCGACCTTAAATAGCCACATGCCTATATTTGGTCAGTGACATTGATTAATATGGCCATATAAGGTCAATAATGTCAACACAAGCATCACGTCCCTTTATGTATGTGCTACTGTGGGGCAGGGAATGCCCTGGCCTGCTGCTGATTGGGTGGGTGGCCTCATGTCATTTCCAGGTTTCCCAGTCCGAACCTGAGCTCATCCCTACTCCTGTGCCACCAATCTGTAACAAGCATGCTGATTGGACAGATTCATAATCTATTTATGATTGCTATTGCATCCCCTATGATAAGCTGGTGCCAAGATGATCTGCAGCAAAGTAACAGGTTTACTTTAAAGCTTACCTCTGGGAAACCTCACCTTGCATTGGCGCTACCCCCCACACTACAAGAGTTAAATGCTTGTTTAGGTAAAGGATACTGAGAATAGCAGTTTTCCTTACCTGCTCCTCACTCCCCCAGCAGTCAGTGCTCTCCTTGTCTCCCCCATGCTCCGGCTTGTGGACTGTCCCTTGGCATCCTTGGGTACTATTGAGGGCAATAGGCCCTGCGTTGTGCTTGATGATAGCAGTTGGCCTTCTGAGCACTGGAGTCTAGGGGTAAGAGGCTGTGGGTGCTGGTCTTGGAGCCAGCGGGAGTGGGGATCAGGTTTTCGCTGATACCCTAGACTTAAACAAGCTTTTAAACTTTGCAACACATACCTTGCCTACACATTGCAAAGTACAGGTTCCCTTTACAATTCCTAATCTATATAGTCACCCTATCCTGCCCTTGGAGCAGCTGTGCCAAATCTTTTCATGTATTTCAGAAGTGTTATTATTGGCTACCTCTGCAGTTTGAGGGCCAATCACACCAGATCATTGTGTTATTATGTGTTTGCATTGCATTAAATTACCTCAGTTCACACAAAAAGTACACTAGCACTGTCACTTGTGATCAGCACAGCTTGTTGGTGTGAATGGCCCCTTAGACTACTGCAGGTGAGCACATTGCATACTTGTATTGGTGGGGTTCAACTCTATAGAAGCCAAGTGTGGCAGTTGTCCCCTGCAGCAGTCACTTTCAAGTTTGTCAAAGCAATAAAAGAATTAATTAAACTGGCACATTTCTGATTATCATGTAGAGTAACAAGGGGAGATTTCAGTTTCTGCCTAGGGCAGGATCTATACACAAACCTGATTACTAGGTGTCAGAAATAAAGACAATTGTTGTTTTGGTTCCTCTCAGATTAGCATATAAGATTTGAATATTGATCCAGTTCAGTCTGCTTTTTCCTGCATTCACAAACCATTTATAAAGACATCCGTTGGAGATTATGATCATGCACTGGGACATGATTCCCAGCCATCATCCTGTTTCTAGATTATCCAAAGAGATCTTCTCGAGACATTATAGTAGCTGTACATTTACATGCAAGCATCAC